AGGCACCTTTGGTCGCTGGTTCAAATTATCGTTGTGATTATGTTTCTTGGTTTTTCAGCAACATACCCGTGATTGTAGGTTTCACCGAAGCAGTAAACGTCAGAGACCTGTACCGGGTGCTTCCTGTAACAATAAGCTGATACACCGTGATATAACTAAAATACTGTTCAAAGCTTGGTCTACCAAACTCGCTCACTGACAGCACCCTGTTTTACAGGACACGCCGCTCCATCTGTCCGCCATGCACGGCCACACCAACGCCGTCACCCTCCTCATGTCCATGGGGGCCAGCTTTACACAGAATGTAGACAAGAGGACGTTCTTCGACAACGCCATCCAATATGCAAAAGCTGACGTCGCCATGGGCATTGTCATCCATGAAAGGTCCGTGGCATTCACATGCATATACATTGAAACCCTGAACTTCCACTTCTGGGTCCAGGTACACAAAGAGATCTTAGCATTACGAATATTGCAAGTGTATGTGTGGGGGTTACGATCATCTCAGCGCTGAGATCGCTTTGTGACCCCGAGTGAGTACGACTGGACACGTCAACTATTATACAAATAAACATTACGCAATAACCATAATAATATACAATTCGCAAATTATTAGATACATTTATTCCATGAATCTCTGTAAAACCTTTCTGCTGAGCTAACATGTTTACTTTCCGTGAAGATTCCGGGTTAGAATTGCTCTTTTAGAAACCCATGCTTGTCGTAAGAGGCGACTTACGTGATCAGGTGGTCAGGCTCGCTGACTTGTTTGATGCATGTCATCGTATCCCAATTGCGTAGGTCGATGCGCAATATGTCAATCACTGGATTGTCTGGTCCCGACTCGATTATTAACAGACCGGTGGCTTTAAACACGAAACAAACAAACACGTTCACTTACTTATGCTAAAAACCGCGCCCAGTCGCCTAAGGCGCCGCAAGTCGCTGTACAGGGGTGTGTCCCTTAGGCACGCCAGACACCTGGGATCTTGAGGTCTCCCCGATTATGTTTCTAGGCTTGTCAGGGGGCACGGGTGGCCCAGTCGTCTAAGGCGTCGCGATTCGCTGTGCAGAGTTGCGTCCCTTGGGCACGCCAGAAACCTATGATTGTGGGTTCGAATCCTGTTCGCCCCGATTATGTTTCAAGGTTTGTCAGCACCATACCCGTGTAAGTGGGTTTCACCGAAGTGATAAACGTCTGAGACCTGCATCACTTCGGGCTCTCCTCCCACATTACGCTAAAAGGCCGTGATATAACTGGAATACTGTTAAAAGCGGCGTTAAACCCAACTCACTCACTCTAGGTTTGTCAGCACCATACCCGTACTTGTGGTTTTCACCTTTTCTCTCACATTAAGCTGACACGCCGTGATATAATTGGAATATTGTTCAAAGCTGAGTTAAACCCAACTCACTCACGTGTAAATGCTACACCACAATTTCCTTACATTTAGCGTCCTTGTCAATAAATCGGTATAAAACGAGTCACTGTGAACCAAGTAGACAACACTATTCATCATATTCATGGAATGTCCGTAGTGTCTTATAATCTGCACACCCATGAAGATTCGGAGAAGAATAGGTCCTTAGCAACCCATGCCTACTGTAAAAGGCGATTATGCCGTATGGGATCGTGTGGTCAGGCTCGCTGATTTGGTTGATGCATGTCATCATATTCCAAGTGCGTGGATCGATGCGTATGATGTCAATTACTGGATTGTCTGGTCCAGACTCGACTCGATAATTTACAGACCGCCGTCATACAGCTTGAATTTTGCTGAGTGCGGCGTTAAAAAGTAAATAAAATAAAAAATGTTCTATTCGCCAACACAAGCAAGGTCAAAGCTTCTCTGTGTCACCCCTGAACAGGAAGTCACGTGTTTACGGCTGGTATATCCAGAACGTGACTATCCACACGTGACCTTGTCTACGAATATCACTCACGCTGTGCAGGACATACTTTCACGACGGTAGTAAACCTGACTATACTTACTTCCGGACTGTTTTGATCAATTACAGATATACATTAAAGGATTTAACAGCATTGTCTTGGAAGTATAATTTTTTTAAATCAGTGCAATGAGGTAAATCAGTATTTTTGTCAACTTCATGTATGTTTCAAAGGATTTAAAAGCGTTGTCAGTGCAGGGAGACAAACCAATTGTTTTTTCAGTTTCACGTTTATTTCAAAGGATTAAATAGCGTGTTCTTGGAAAAAGAAATAAACATGAGTGCTATCACGGACACTTGATATGAAATATACACGAAGCTAACTAACAATTGTTTTCTCTCAATATTTAGGGCCCCTGGTGCTATGAAGCCAACCACGTTTTGATTAATTCCATGTTATGATCATTTCAAAGGATATTAATACCGCCTTGGAAATAGAAACATAGATCAGGCAATGAGACACAACTATCATTAAATATGACTCTAAATTCACGATGGGCGTTCTCTGATTGGTTTGTGGGGGGGGGGGGGGGGGGGGGGGGGGGGGGGGGGGGGTGTGTACATTTATTTTATCTGACATTTTACTGTTATTCCCATTGTTTCCTTACGCTGGTATCACGTGACTGTTGACAGGTGGGAGGAGGCGATGGATCTGACGTCACCTCTGTATGGGTGTCCTATGGTGGGCCTCATCAGACAACTGCCAGAAGTCTGCATGGTGGGTGATTATCTCGTGTTTTTGTCAGGTGAAAGTTGACTTCCCTTTGCATGTGTTTGTGACGGGTGCCACCGGAGAGGCAGGATACACTCACCTTTTCGCAAACACCTGGTATCATCACTATTTGTTAGTGAGTCATAAACACGTGCTCATGACATTGTCGTAATCACAAACGACTCTGCTTTTGGCAGAGCTTTCTTATGAATATGGAAAGGGTTTTATCGCTTTTATTTATATACTGAATTGTACCTGCTATCATACACGTTCACTATCATATTGAACAGATTCCCATGTACACCAATATTAGACATCTGCGCGATAACCGGAAAGAACAATAAAGAAGAAGGCGTGGTTTTAATTCATGGCAAAACATTGTTCTATCATGACGTCATTTCCGGGGATTCGAACATATGCCCTTACCTTGATGACGTTGTAAATTGAAGGACGTTATATTTGATAGGTTAGTGAGTTGTTTCCCTAGATGTAGCTGGACAACGCAGATAGATGCAATGGCCAAACGATCTCAACCAACTGGCCGTCTATTATCCACTTGGCTCATTTTCTCTTTCTGCTGTTAACACTGAAACCTGAAATACCAAACTTAACTTCCTATTCATAAAATGGACTTTTCCGACATTGCCGAGATCGGATTATTTAAATATGGGTCACCATGATTAAAGCTTGTAAAGGCTGTAAATAATGTTGATATCTTATATCGTCGTTGTTTGTGGTACAATAAGTCCCACGTGGTTTATTCTCCCTGAAATGTATTATTGTACGATAAACAACTAGCGCTCGTCGTTAATTTCTTATTTATGCAAAGAGTGAGCGATGAATTATTATTGTCCCGTGGTTCAAGTCTTTGTACGTCAGTTTCAAGACCTGGGTTCGATGTCATTAGATACGGTGTTCATATATCTACTTTATCTCTATGCAGGTCGTGTTAGAACGCTGTCAGTCGCTGTCCAGCTTGATCCCAGGAGTAGGAACTATTTTGTGAGTCGTAGGACAAACTCAGAATTACTTTTCTCACTACACATTTGTTGTCACTGTCGTTATTGTTATCGACCGCCCTCCGTGGTCTAGTGGTAGAGCGTCCGCCCGGAGAGCGGAAGGTCCGGGGTTCGATCCCCGGCCGCGTCATACCAAAAGACGTTAAAAGATGGTACTTGTTGTTACCCTGTCTGGCGCTCGGTATTAAGGGGCTAAAACAAGGACTGGTCGGCTCGGAGTCAGTTTACTGTGTCTGAGTGGGATATTCATGTTAAACTGCGGCATGGTATCTCAGTGAGCAGCACTATAAATCGGCATCAGTGCGGACTAGTACAAGCAGCCACACACACACACACACGTACATGCACGTCGCTATATAAGTGCAATAATCTTGGACGGGACGTTAAACCCAATTTCACCTCACCTCACCCGTTATTGTTATCACTGATACAGTTCACAGACAAACACAAACATCTCCCTGCCATCCATTATTCGTATCAATGTGGGGGTAAGAAAAAGGATGTATAGAGTTACACAGGTCCATAATTACGTAGATGAATGTCCTTTTATGATCCTACCAATTTGATGGCTTGATATTTTATCATTCAGAAGTAGCCGTTCTCGTCAATACCACATGTTTGACAAGTCTTTGCCCAATACTACATAGTACTGTTTGATCATTCAATACCACATAAAGTTGACCGGCCAATACCACATAATGTTTGACCAGAAAATACTGCATGTTTGACCAGAAAATGCTTCATAGTGTATGACTATAAAATACTACATACTGTTTGATCATCAATACCACATAAAGTTTGACCAAACACATTTGATTGGTTCGTGTTTGCTTGTAACATTCCATCTTGCTACACATTTGACCTCGTTAATCCAGACGGTGCTGTTAACAGTGACTATCAGTAGCATTAACGAATAACCTGATTAACGAGTCATGGATACAGAGTTATGTCCCTTCGTGCATCTTTTGACATTCCCAGGCGACAACACAATGGGATTTGACTGCACGTAGGATTTGTTACACCACTTATTCCAATGTATATGTGTTTGCAGATCGACTTCAACTTCAAATACCTGCGTTCTGCCATGAAGCCCCTCCTCGACAAAACCAAGGCGGAGCGCCGCTCAAACCTATGCCAGAACTTACCGTCAGTCAGTTTCTCAGTCAGCTTCCCCTCGTGTGCTTGTCAGTCTCGATCGTGGTCACATACATTTACTCATTTCAGCGTTCGAGACATGTATCTTGTTAGGGTGGCCCCGTCAGCCTGAGGCCGATTAACATCCGTAAATTCCGATCTAATCATGTTAGATTACTTCCTGATTGTATAATAACAACTGTTTCTGCTCACCTCGTTTTTTAAATAATGTTTTATGAAACACATTAACCAGGTGAAAATTCGTGATTTCCACCTGAAAAAAAGAGAAGCATTTCATGGGAATAGGCTCGTGCCGCCTCGTACCTTAAGAACTCTCGTGAAATGTCTGAATGTTTAAGCTGCTCCTAGCGACTTGACCTTTTTTGTATTAAATACACTTCGGAATAACACAGTCAACCCTCTAATGAAGAATCGACAGATTAGATATATTGTTTGATTATTACAACTGTGAAATGAAAATTCGAGAAGCTAAAACACATTTATTAAAAAACATTAGCGATGGTATTGCCTTGGTATGATTACATTATGAATATACCTGATTCCTAACATGTTATTACACATGTGACAATCCTTGTGTCACAACACAGTGAGTACTGTTCCTGTTTAATACAGATGATGGTGAAGACCGGCAGAGTTGAGTGTCTCTCTCATCCCGTGTGCACCAACTTCCTCAGGATGAAATGGTATGGTAAAGATAATTATGCTGACGCTGCAGATATTAAATTGTTTATGTAGATCCATGTTGAGTACATATTCGAAACAAAAAGGAAATGAAAATTTAACTATCTCTCGATACCCACTGGCAGGAAGTCCTAAAGTCACACGAATTGAATTTCCCCTTTTCCAAAATGCAACAGTGTCCTAGCTTCCGGTACAACATCTTGATTGAAGGCATCTCGTTTATAACAATAAACACTGGAGTACCCTGTTGTTTGTTTGTTACAAACCCCACAACCAATCAGATCATGATGCCAGATCGTCATTAGGAGCACTGACACCGGTATTAAAACCGGTGTCTATACAAAAATGTAATTTGTGATCAAGGGTGTATTCCAACAGGTTTGATGGTGAAGATGTCGCACGATGACGCAATCATTGATATATGGCAATACACCTTAATTTTTATAAGTCTGCAGTTAAACCCTCAGTGGCATTGTTTGCTTTTCAATCCCTCCCCCCCCCCCCCCCCCCCCCCTCAATGCTCCCATTCAAAACTGAACGTACGTTTTGCCCTGCCTCCGATGGCGGATTAACGGTACCCTTCCATGTAAACTGACGGATTCCAGATGGCGTTGGTAGTTGTCTGCATGGTTTGTTTCAGGAACTACTACGGTCGATGGTACTGCTCCGTCTACCTCCTCATCTACCTCACTTTCCTCGCATTTCTCACCTCCTTCGTCGTGAGCCACGACTCTATGGACCACTTCGACGAGGGTAAAGTCGACAACGCCACCATCAAGGTTCTGCACGGGAACCATCTTGGCGGACACTATGTAAGTTTGAACCTGATGATAAATACAATAGCAACATTACAGTAAACTACGTTTATGACGAATACGCTTATAACGAACTGACGGATATAACGAACTGTTTTGATTTGGTCACGGCTTTTGGTATTTCATAAAGCGCCTGTTTCTAAAGTTATATCAGATTGTAAAAATAAAAGTCACAAATCTTGGACATTAGATTTCGTTCACAATAAACTATTATAATATCTTTGTGTATACCTCAAAGGGTAGGATCGATAAGAGTAGGATAGAGGTAGTTTGTTCGCTCAAGGTGTTGGTTCATTTCTCTTTTCACTACGGAAGAATATGTATATATCTGAATAAGGATACAGAGCTGATAAAACTATGACAACTCTTTCTTTTCCTACTCCAGTTCTCTCCTGTATTCACCGTTCTTCTGTGGCTCATTGAGATCTTTGCTGCTATCAACATCCTCAAGGAGGTCTTCCAGATGATGACTGAGGTATTTACCGTTTTTAACAGGTTCCAGGGAGACCACAAAACACAAACTATCCTTTGAAATGGAATTTATCTGCATAGATTTGGTTGTGAGTGACACTAAATGTAGTTGTGCACTGGCTACATATGACCATTAATGAGAGACAATTGCAAGCATTTGATGAGATTTTTTGCGATTAAAGGCCAAGGCTTGACAATTATGCACATCGTGTAAGTTTGACTCAATACGTTCAATACACGCATGAACCAGCGAAGTTGACAATGGGACCTGGTGTTTGAGAAGATGCACAATCCAAGTGAAGAGAACATAGGCACGACACCACGCCCGTCCTGAACCAGACTCCTGTATGAATCCTTTTAATCAATTATGTAAAAGGAAAGAAAACAACTACATTTAATCACCCGCGTCCAAGATCATGCCTGGGCCTTTTTACAGGCCCTTACGTTTTTATCAATTTTGCCATAAGACAAACAAATTACATTTGATCACCCCGCCCTGGACCAGATCCAGATCCAGGTCCTGAAAATGCTTAGGACTTATCAATTTTGTAATAAGATTACATTTGATCAGTGACACCTAGACCAGGCCGACATTGTCGTGTTCACCTAGGATTTCATGGGGTAAAATGGATTTGTCGAACCCTAGCGAGGTGCTATCGATGGTATACTTGCTGCTGTGCCATTTGTAGCCGTATTAACCCAGCACATATCGTGATCCGGTAGATCCCGTGGTAGCCCCCTGCTAGATTACCCCAGGGTCAGGTCAGTTAGTGAAGGTGCTCCATGTTCTTCTTTCAGAGGTGGCGCTACTTCATGGACTGTCAGAACCTGCTGGAGTGGCTGCTGTATGTCCTCACCCTCGTCTTCGTCTCCCCCTTCCTGGCCCACTACTCCACACACTGGCAGTGGGAGGTCGGGGCATTCGTCGTCTTCCTGGCCTGGTTCAACTGTCTGGTCTTCCTACAGAGGTAGGTCTAGACAACATGTCTTAGCACTGCGGCCTTGTCTTTCTCCACATATTTATAAAAATTAATCCTTCTGCATGGTACAGTTTTCTTAAATTCAAAATTACCTGGTCCATCCAACGGTCTAACCTTAGCTAATGTGACCCTTTGCGCAAGTTAACTGTTTGGGTGTTAGTGTAGGCTTCGTGATGAGGAGTAACGTCATATTCTCCTTCTAGCATATACATTACTTATTAAAACACTTATTGTGTTTTCCTGTAAAAAGATTCTCTCTTTAGAAAATGATAGCAGACAGACCGAGCGCATTATTTAATCACCCTAAACGCATGACGTTAACAGCCAATATTTTCTTTCCCTTACGCGTTATTCTAACATCATTTATTTGCATTTACAATTGTAAACTCTTTGCGAAGACGGCTCATGCGAACTTCCTGTGACACTGATTCACATATAACGTACTGTCCACTAGGTTCGACTTCTTCGGCATCTACGTGGTGATGTTTGTGGAGATCCTCAAGACTCTCCTCCAGGTCATCGTCGTTTTCTCCATTCTCGTCGTCGCCTTCGGCCTCGCCTTCTACATCCTCATGTCTCACGAGGTATGTGCACACCGACTCCATCATCTGCATCATAATCTTAAGTGTCAATATGAACGATAACCTGAGTGGGGTATAAGAACCATAGTGATATGACATGGTATTTGAGAACGCCGTGTTGATAAAAGGGTCTGTAAAAATAAATGTATGTCAGTAGTATATTCATTCCCAGACTGCCCAAGCAATTAATAGAAGCGACTTTTCAAAAAGTATATATTTATTAAAATTAATGTTAAATGCAGAATAAGATATATTCATATTGCTTCGAATCCATGTTCATAAAATTATTACGGTCAATGGATCAGTATGAACTCAAATTATATACACAACTCCACTGGATGCCTGATAGGCGCACGGTTTACATTTACGTTACTATTTCGTTCTGCCGGGTACCCATTCGCTGTAAAAGTAACGAGACCAATGGTCTCAAGAGACTCCACGTGTTTTATCACTCATGTTTCATTTTGAAGCAGGGCCAAAGCTCTAGAAACTCTTAGGGATCAGGCCGAGCTCGGTCACCCATCCATCTCTTCTCCGCAGCCGGGATAGATTCATCTGTTTCTAATGCTGGTTATGTTGTTATGGGATAGATTCATCTGTTTCTCATGCTGGTTATGTTGTTACAGGATAGATTCATCTGTTTCTAATGCTGGTTATGTTGTTACGGAATATATTCATCTGTTTCTAATGCTGGTTATGTTGTTACGGGATAGATTCATCTGTTTCTAATGCTGGTTATGTTGTTGCGGGATAGATTCATCTGTTTCTAATGCTGGTTATGTTGTTACGGGATAGATTCATCTGTTTCTAATGCTGGTTATGTTGTTACGGGACGGATTCATCTGTTTCTAATGCTGGTTATGTTGTTACGGGACAGATTCATCTGTTTCTAATGCTGGTTATGTTGTTACGGGATAGATTCATCTGTTTCTAATGCTGGTTATGTTGTTACCGGATAGATGCATCTGTTTCTAATGCTTGTTATGTTGTTACGGGATAGATTCATCTGTTTCTAATGCTGGTGTTGTTGTTACCGGATAGATTCATCTGTTTCTAATGCTGGTTACGTTGTTACGGGATAGATTCATCTGTTTCTAATGCTGGTTATGTTGTTACCGGATAGATTCATCTGTTTCTAATGCTGGTGATGTTGTTACGGGATAGATTCATCTGTTTCTAATGCTGGTTATGTTGTTACCGGATAGATTCATCTGTTTCTAATGCTGGTGTTGTTGTTATGGGATAGATTCATCTGTTTCTAATGCTGGTTATGTTGTTACGGGACAGATTCATCTGTTTCTAATGCTGGTTATGTTGCGACGGGATAGATTCATCTGTTTCTAATGCTGGTTATGTTGTTACCGGATAGATTCATCTGTTTCTATTGCTGGTTATGTTGTTACGGGATAGATTCATCTGTTTCTAATGCTGGTTATGTTGTTACGGGATAGATTCATCTGTTACTAATGCTGGCTATGTTGTTACGGGATAGATTCATCTGTTTCTAATGCTGGTTATGTTGTTACGGGATAGATTCATCTGTTTCTAATGCTGGTTATGTTGTTACGGGATAGATTCATCTGTTTCTAATGCTGGATATGTTGTTACGGGATAGATTCATCTGTTTCTAATGCTGGTTATGTTGTTACGGGATAGATTCATCTGTTTCTAATGCTGGTTATGTTGTTACGGGATAGATTCATCTGTTTCTAATGCTGGCTATGTTGTTACGGGATAGGTCCATCTGTTTCTGATGCTGGTTATGTTGTTACGGGATAGATTCATCTGTTTCTAATGCTGGTTATGTTGTTACGGGATAGATTCATCTGTTTCTAATGCTGGATATGTTGGTACGGGATAGATTCATCTGTTTCTAATGCTGGTTATGTTGTTACGGAATAGATTCATCTGTTTCTAATGCTGGTTATGTTGTTACGGGATAGATTCATCTGTTTCTAATGCTGGTTATGTTGTTACGGGATAGATTCATCTGTTTCTAATGCTGGTTATGTTGTTACGGGATAGATTCATCTGTTTCTAATGCTGGCTATGTTGTTACGGGATAGGTCCATCTGTTTCTAATGCTGGTTATGTTGTTACGGGATAGATTCATCTGTTTCTAATGCTGGTTATGTTGTTACGGCATAGATTCATCTGTTTCTAATGCTGGCTATGTTGTTACGGGATAGGTCCATCTGTTTCTAATGCTGGTTATGTTGTTACGGGATAGATTCATCTGTTTCTAATGCTGGTTATGTTGTTACGGGATAGATTCATCTGTTTCTAATGCTGGTTATGTTGTTACGGGATAGGTCCATCTGTTTCTAATGCTGGTTATGTTGTTACGGAATAGATTCATCTGTTTCTAATGCTGGTTATGTTGTTACGGGATAGATTCATCTGTTTCTAATGCTGGTTATGTTGTTACGGGATAGATTCATCTGTTTCTAATGCTGGCTATGTTGTTACGGGATAGGTCCATCTGTTTCTAATGCTGGTTATGTTGTTACGGGATAGATTCATCTGTTTCTAATGCTGGTTATGTTGTTACGGGATATATTCATCTGTTTCTAATGCTGGTTATGTTGTTTCTAATGCTGGTTATGTTGTTACGGGATAGATTCATCTGTTTCTAATGCTGGTTATGTTGTTACGGGATAGATTCATCTGTTTCTAATGCTGGTTATGTTGTTACGGGATAGATTCATCTGTTTCTAATGCTGGTTATGTTGTTACGGAATAGATTCATCTGTTTCTAATGCTGGTTATGTTGTTACGGGATAGATTCATCTGTTTCTAATGCTGGTTATGTTGTTACGGGATAGATTCATCTGTTTCTAATGCTGGTTATGTTGTTACGGGATAGATTCATCTGTTTCTAATGCTGGTTATGTTGTTACGGGATAGATTCATCTGTTTCTAATGCTGGTTATGTTGTTACGGGATAGATTCATCTGTTTCTAATGCTGGTTATGTTGTTACGGGATAGATTCATCTGTTTCTAATGCTGGTTATGTTGTTACGGGATAGATTCATCTGTTTCTAATGCTGGTTATGTTGTTACGGGATAGATTCATCTGTTTCTAATGCTGGTTATGTTGTTACGGGATAGATTCATCTGTTTCTAATGCTGGTTATGTTGTTACGGGATAGATTCATCTGTTTCTAATGCTGGTTATGTTGTTACGGGATAGATTCATCTGTTTCTAATGCTGGTTATGTTGTTACGGGATAGATTCATCTGTTTCTAATGCTGGTTATGTTGTTACGGGATAGATTCATCTGTTTCTAATGCTGGTTATGTTGTTGTTCGTTCCGTCCGTCCATATCAGGATACACTTGTTGTGAACAGAGAAGGCCAAAATAAAACAACATCTAAAAACCAAGTGTCGCTTCCGGGAGACGTACACACTGGTGATATTGAAACCAATATATGTTCAGTTTACCCGTACTTGCCTGTAGTTTTGCCAAGCATCACGCCTTAAGCAACATCAAATAGCGTTTTATGTTAGATAGGACGACTCATGCAAAAGTGTAGATGTTGAACGTTTGAGGCACCTTTACGATAAAATGCTATCAATATGTACATAGATCGTGAAGTTTTAAAACTGTCAAATTCACATGTTCCAATCACAGAAGTCGCATGCGTATTCGACCCCAGGACTGGCGATGTTGCGGTCGGTGACGATGATGTTGGAGATGGAATACATGGACACTTACAACGAGCCCTACAACGACAACTCCGTGGTCACTCTTCACTACGCCCACGGCACGCTCTTCTTCATGACAATCTTCGTTCTCTTCATGCCGATCATTCTTATGAACCTTCTGGTGAGAATCTTGACTGTGTCTGTAAAAGCACATGACCTATCGATCCTCACACAACAAACATGAAGCGTTTTATATTAGTTGATACATGTTTACATAAGGTGTAGACAATTATGGACACTTCAGTGTCGTCAATATCAAAAGGTTATATTTATGCGGACGCCTTTGTGCTGTGTAATGTGCACTCATTTACCTTTGTCTGCATCATCTGTTTACGCATATCTCGACCACAACTTACACAGGTGTAGAATACGCTAATGAGTGAGTGAGTTGGGTTTAACGCCGCTTTTAACTGCATTCCAGTTATATGGTGGCGTGTCAGCTTAATGTGGGAGGAAAGCCCGAAATGATGCAGGTCTTAGACGTTTACCACTTCGGTGAAACCCTGTAGCACGGGAATGGTGCTGACAAACCTAGAAACATAATCGGGGCGAACCGGGATTCGAACCTACAATCCTAGGATTCTGGCGTGCCCAAGGGACGCAACTCTGCACAGCGAATCGCGGCGCCTTAGACGACTGGGCCACCCGTGCCCCCGAATGCACTAATGAAACAATATATGAAAAATATATAAACGCCAAAGAAAAACCAGTCTCGATTATCTGCAGAAACAGATTCCATTGAGTGTAAATGGCAATGGTGAAAGTTATAAGAATGGATCACTGAAAATCTGTGATGACACCAAGTGTACGCGAAAAGGGTCAGCATGTCCTGATACACCGGTAGCACCAACCACTCACACAATTTGTATAAGAAACCTCCTTTTCGCTTCTCCACCAGAATCGTTACATCAGTTTAAATAAACATATAAACGCAAATGGATTAATGTGCAAAGATAACCGCTCACAGCAGCACGTTTCTTTCCTTTGTTGTTCCCTTACAGAGATTCTTTTTATGAAATATGTTTCTTTTTATTCAATAATTTTATTGATCAATAATCAATTATAAGCCAGGTTTTAAACAATGTTTAAGTGTTTATGTGCCATATGTGATTATATCCAGTGATGTTACTTACATGATCAGGGCAGTCGGGTAGCCTAGTGGTTAAAGCGTTCGCTCGTCACGCCGAAGACACGGGTTCGATTCCCGACATGGGTACAATGTGTGAAGCCCATTTCTGGTGTCCCCCGCCGTGATATTGCTGGAATATTGCTAAAAGCGGCGTAAAACCATACTCACTCACTCGCTACATGATCAACTCAAGGTTGATCATACATAGTACAGCATCTGAGCTACTTATCCCCGTGTTATAACAACTCATTCCGGTTTCATAAACAAATACAGTAAACTACGTTTATAACAAACACACTCATAACGAACTGACGGATATAACGAACCGATTATTTTTTGTGAAGTCCATTTGCTGTATATATGCTGCATGTATGCTTATAAGGAACTATAGTTATAACGAACTAAAATAGTGGCCCCTTTGAGATCGTTATAACCGTAGATTAATGTATAATAACTCTCAAATATCAGTGAAACTTAGCAGTCACTTCTCGGGTCGCTGTCATCGTAATGGTTAAATATATATCTGCTCACAGTGTTCAATGCATCTGGGTTTGATGTAATTATTGTCTGTGTTGCCGGTAGGACTCTACATGGTTGTATGTGTTGTCAGATCGGCCTTGCTGTGGGGGACATCCAGAGTGTGCTGACCAACGCACGGCTTCAGAGGCTGACACTGCAGGTAACACCACGAAGATACACTCCCACACGTAGCTGTTACACCGCAGTCGCTAACATGACACCAAATGTTACCATTGCCTTTCTAGGCTGTTGTCAAACTCCACCTACACTGCTTAGAATTACAGATATATTGTGCTGCCAGTTTGCTTAGTTGATGATGGAAAATTAAAGTTCATTGATGACAGTGTTCTCCAAGCGTTAATTTTAGAGGGAAATGTTGTGTTGCGTGGTTCTTTGGTACGTTTAATAACAGTCGAAACAAATGTGGTCTGGTTCACAAAGTTAATTCACATGGCTCAAAAATCAGGTTCACTAGGATCAGGATCAACACATGTGTTCTACCTGGTGGCTGACATCTTGGATCTATCAAAAGTGGAATTTCAAAACAATTGGATTTAGACTGGGTTAATACTAAAACAATGAATAGCATTAATTAATTGAAGCCCAGGTAAAATATCTCCAAACACATAAACAGCTATCACTGTATAACATGTTGTATTCAATTAGATTACCATTCCTGTAGCATTTGTACCGATATCTGCCGTGTCCCAGGTGAACCTCCACTCGGACATAGAGAGGAAGATGCCGCGAGAGCTGCTGGTGAAGCTGGACCAGGGCACCTTCAGAGTGTACCCCAACAGGCGGAGGACCTTCCTCCAGAATGTAAGTCCACCAATGATGCCCTTGCAAGGGATCTAATAACTAATGGATAATTCACAATCTACCTACGGACTGTACTTCGCTAAATTGCACACCATCGCAATGAACTTCGCGTGTCAATTCGCGGATTAGTAATATTTTCGGCTGAGACTGTGATGGTGCATTAACGAAGAACATTAGTGTCTGTGACAGATCATATATACGACTCCAAGGAAGTTCTTTCATATTAAGGGGCGGTCGGATAGCCTTGTGGTTAAAGCGTTCGATCGTCACGCCGAAGACCCAGGTTCGACTCCCGACATGGGTACAATGTGTGAAGCCCATTTCTGGTGTCCCCCGCCGTGGTATTGCTGGAATATTGCTAAAAGCGGCGCAAAACCATACTCACTCACTCTTTCATATTGCTATCGATAATCTGTCATGATATGACAGAATCTGATCTGCTTTAACTCCTTTTGAGTAAATCCATCGTCTGTCTTATCATTTGTGAGTTTATAGTTACGATTTTGTAATGGATTTGGAAAAAAATATTCTAGTTTCTTGTTTAAAGTTTATTGCACATAACACACATTGTCATATTTGAATCCTGTTCAATACACGGATGATCATCTTCGCCATTCCTCAGCATATGTGTTTGTAATTTAACAACGCATTCATCTATATGTTAGCTGTAATCATTGTGGTATATAAATAACAGAGTCTGGAACACACGTTCCAGTAACTGACATCATGAGCATCGATCCACGCAATTGGGGTACATGCATCTACCAAGTCAGCGAGCCTGACCACCCGATCACGTTAGTCGTCTCTTACGACAAGCACGGGTTGCTGAAGACCATATATCTCGGATCTTCAGGGGGCTCCTCAGCATGTGGGAGCTCAGGTTAGGTTGGTTAGGCGATGGGTGGTTTAGTTATGGTTATGGTTAGGCTGTGGTTAGGGTTAGATCTCATCACCTTGCCTGTGTCACCGCAGATGTGGTCCAAGGTGATGTCCTACGATGACGAGTTTAACGGCATGGACGAGGGTCGGACCGTTGCCCACAACCAATATGTCTACACCGAACTCAACAAACAGAAGAGCAGGTATACACAGTGCATCTACCATACATTGGCGTGTTGGAGTCGTGATTCTGTCCCACAGTGGACCAACAAACCATGCCCGATTCCAATTAATAGTCACAAACCGTTAACCTACCAGAACTAACTAAAGCGCACTTTATATAATAGGAGTGCGTGATTCAAGTGCTTTCCAGGCACAAATGGCTTTGGCTGTGTACGTATGGCAATACATAGCTAGTTTATAGATGCGGCACTAAGCCGAACATTAATTTTATTGTGCGCTACTTCCTTTGTACACGTACCTCGATGATGTTCTGTCATGGGATTTGCATCGGTGCACCAGCGGTAGACTATTTATTACTGGAAGACTAAACAATTGGAATAGCAGTTTAGACAGTTCGAAATTGTTTATTTTTGCAAGTATTAAATGTACACGAATGTTTTAAAGATGTTGAAAATCTTCGCAATAATTCGTTAAGATTAAAAATTAAACGGAACCAATTCCTATATAAAATCAAATCATCACTGTGTTCTGTTCTGTTCTGTTCTCCCCAGACTGAAGGAGTTGTCGAGCACGATGGAGCGGAACCATGATCTCCTGCGTCAGATCGCCCGGGGGATGGACATTCACTCGGAGGAGGACGCCTGGGATGGAGGCCTCTCCCCCTCGGACAGCCTCCAGTCACTGCTCCTCCCCGAGGGTCAGTCCCTGGGGTGGTCGTCCACGTCCCTTGGGAGGGTCATGCTGCAGCAGTCCATGGTGGTGGCCCGGTGGAAGCGGATGGCCGGGCGGGGGCGAGGGGGGACAAAGCGGGGACGAGGGGGCAGGAGATGAGGTTAAGACCATATAGTAAAGGGTGTTGCATCTTGTATACTCCCCAGGGAGCTGAGAATGATAAAACGAGTGCGCGCCGATCAACTGATAATAATAGAGCGCTTTCGTGCATGTGTTTGGAGTTTAACGCAATGTAAGTACACATATTTATTTATCTTGGAACCATGCATATCATCCGTTCTAACATAGTCGTTTCCTTGGGTGTGTACAGTTGATGCTATATCGTCGAGTATCCTATTTTCGAACGACATCTATTTTCGAACAGCCGTATATGATATTGATTTGTCTCATTATAACGAGAGGTGTGACGTCATCATAGCTGCCGACTTGGTATTGGTCGCCTTCGGCCTGTCAACATTGGGTTCATGTGAAGTATTGTACACCTGTTAAAACATTCCGACGTCATTCATAATTTTGGTGCCCGTATCATGATGAAGAGGAAGAGTAACACATTGTGAACACTCTAATTTGAGAAATATTCATATTTTGTGAATAGGTTTCAAACTTTCAATTACTTTTTGAATTTTAATGCCGACCTGTAAGAATTATTTTTAGAACTGGGCGCAAAAGCATGTCTGTTCATTCGTGGAAACCCCGCTCAAGTACGAAACCAATCAAGAGTTCGAAAATAGGTGACGTCACTCGAGTGTACCGGAAGTACAGACGACGCAATGGAGGTAAAGCTTTTTATCGAGGACTGTTTTTTTCTTTCGGAAAGAAGCTGAATTCTATTGCTGAAGACATCACATACTGATATGAAGCAGAATTTGAGGTGTGATTCAATCATCCCTCGAAATATCAGCAATGCCATCTTAACTGTTCGAAAATAGGGTACGTCGGGATATATGTATTGTGGTGTTACTGACAAACCAATTTTCCAAAGACAGTATTTACATTGATTGAGCTTGCAGTTTATTTCACTGTAAGCCGCGATTTTTATATTTGTCGGCTCGAAAACAATCTACCTACCCTTTATGTTTAATAACCACTGTCGTGTATCCACTTGATTCGGGTCTTATCTCGTCTGCGTCGATGTGACAAGAAGCTGATGATGAATTGCTCAAACCAATCACACCATAGCGATATAAGGACATGCGTTATCGTGCCATACGAGTTTAGTAAAATAGACAAACACTAGTGTAAAAGGAGTGTTTTCTATATTGAAATCCATCTAGAGAAAATAAATGGATATGTATTAGGTATGACATCATTACCATATTGTGACGTCATTATACCTTACGTCATCAGTGATGTCTGTATTAGGCGCGTTTGTCAATCATTACGTAAGCATTGTTGTAGGGAGAGGGAATTTTACAGGCGTGTTTCGTTTTATTAACTCGCATATGCATAATAACAGCTCTTATCACCCTGAAAGATTTGGGTGTGAAAGAGGGGCCAAGGTATACTTTTTACAATTGTCTTCGTTTCTCATTGCTAATGTTAGAAACAGATAATTAAAAATGAAGTGCAAAGGGTTCACAATCTCAATAAAATCAGCTTCTTCAGGAAGGTTACCATGAAAACATATTCGATGGAGGGTCATGTGAATGAAAGATGACGTGTCCATAACGAAAATTTCTTCACAAGACCCACAAGACAAAAGAATATATACTACTCAAAACAAGTTAAAGAACACCCACAACTGGAAGGCTATGTGTCGCCCTGACATTGACTAGAGCCATATGAAAGTATCGGGTGGTCTTTACTTCTTTTGAGTAGGATATCTGATAATGCTTGTATTTTATCACTTATATAAGGTCTTCGTTGTTTTGTTTAACTATTATGGGTTAACAACACCGGGTGGGATGACCTGGTTCTTGTTTTGTATGTTGTGATATAAATATGCACTTCCACGCGTGTGAATAAATACGTTACTTTTACCATGATCTTCGTTTCTCATTGCAATGTGTTAGAAACCGATAAATAAAAATGAAGTGCTAAGAGTTCAGAATTTCATTAAAATCAGCTTCTTCAGGAAAGGTTACCATGAAAACATATTCGATGGAGGGTCATGTGAAAATTTCTTCACAAGATCCACTTACGACAAAAGAATATATACCACTCAAAACAAGTTAAAGAACACCCACAACTGGAAGACTGTGTGTCGCCTTGACAGATTAACTCGAGCCATATGAAAGTACCGGGTGGTCTTTACTACTTTTGAGTAGGATATCTGATAATGCTTGTATTTTATCACTTATATAAGGTCTTCGTTGTTTTGTTTAACTATTATGGGTTAACAACACCGGATGTCCTGACCTGGTACTTGTTTTGTATGTTATGATATAAATATACACTTCCACGCGTGTGAATAAATACGTTACTTTTACCATGATCTTCGTTTCTCATTGCAATATGTTAGACACAGATAATTAAATATGAAGTGCTAAGAGTTCACAATCTCATTAAAATCAGATCTTAGTTCTCGCTACTGCTTAACAAAGATCTGACGACATCCCATTACGGGTCACGTGAGAACGACCTTTCATCCGACGAATCAGAAATTACTCGAACCTGTTGATTCTAGCAGTAGAATCAATGGGCCACGGAGAAATCACTCGAATCTGTAGGTTCCGGAAGCGGGATCAACGAGCCGTGAGGAATCTACTTCCGGAATCAATAGATCCGAGATATTTCAACGATTTTATCACTTGTCACTGCGAGTGTTTCCGAGTGCGGGGCCTTGAGCGATGATGCGCTCGTAAAATATTGACACTGCACCTGCCTCTTGTCTGGCATACAACAAGGCCGTAGTTAACTTTTTTTGACAGGGGGGGCGGCAAATATTTGTACAAGTATCACTTGTCCCCAACTTGATTCAAATAAAACTGTTTACTATAAAAAATCTAGGGGGGCAACTGCCCTCCCTGCTCCCCACGGCTGGCTACGGCACTGTACAACCTGTTTACATTCATTATGACAGTTGGTGCAATTGACAGAAGCTGATTCCAGCAACACTTTGACACATTTATTCAGAAAAAAACGTCTTACTAATTGCCTTTGCATGGCGATATGAATTGATTTTAGTCGTACTTCGCCGATCGAGAGAAGGGTTTTGTTTGTTGTTTGAGGCACTCAACGAGCCTGACCACATGGTCCGGTTAGCCGCCTTTTACGACAAGCATGGGTTGCTGAAGACCAATCATAACCCTGGTTTTCACGGTCTCGAAGAAGGGAGATAACTCGGTGGACCATAGTGGGTTGAGGTGCAACTAATTCACCCTGCACTTCTTTTCGTTTTTTATTTCTTCTTTGTTTTTTTTGTTGAGGTCGGTAAATAATCAGGACTGGACCAGAAAATCCAGTGATTTACATCATGGGCATCGATTCACGCAATTGGGATACGATGACATGCATCAACCAAGTCAGCGAGCCTGACCACCCGATCCCGTTAGTCGCTTTTTACGACAAGAATGGCTTGCTGAAGACCTATTCTACCCCGGATTTTACGCAGATGCATTTATTGATGGCTTGTACCATTGTGAAAAATACGTTGTAGTTACATCACTAATATTATTCTCATATATGTTACATACAGTCTTATCGCTAACACTCACGAATTTCTCCTGCGACATTTTTAACAACTTTCCAATTTCTTGAACAGTTGGAATGCGTACATTGTAGGTTTTTTAATGTAATTGTACAGAAATATCGCGCGTAATAAAATCAAGACCTAGTATCCTAGTACCGTGAGAGGGGATCGTGTCGACAGGCTCTGTGACCTAGCTGATAGCGTGTGTCTTCGTGTCCCGATGCCGTGGATGGCGCTGATAATGTTGTAGTCACTGCATTCTTTTCCTGGTCCCAGATTCCATTATTCACTGCGTTGATAGATGTTGTGTTGTGGACTACGGCAGATTGCAACAATCAGAGCTCCAGATAAGCTGCGTATCTGCGTAAAATACACATCAGAAATTGAGAAATAGGCAGTAAAATAAAATCCAAGCGTATCAAATACGCAACGAACATTACAGATACGCTACAAAAATAAAACTTGTGCGTATCATCAAAATATTGTGAAGTAACCCTGCGTATTCGATTAGCAAATCAGCAACTTATTTTGAAATTATAAACGGGCATTCCGTCAACCTTGTCAAACTCCACGGTGACAGTTACATCATGATCATTTGCCATCACACTTTCTTGTGGAAGTATCGTGGTATTTTTGAGTCCAATAAAGCTCTCGAACCCACACGACACCAGTTTGCAGGGACTAGATGAATAGTGTTTTTAAATATTTAACTTAAATACCCACATGTGTAAAAACTAGTGGGTAACAGAAATTTGAATACCCAGATAGAATTACTGATACCCAATGATTTTAAAATGCATGGGTAAAATACCCACAACACCAAAAGCTTATCTGGAGCTCTGAACATTCACTCACTCATCAATTCAAAACATTACAAAAACGGTGAGGTATTTGAGTGATCTTATAGTTGACATTGCTGTATAATTAGTGTTCCGTTCACCGTGCTGAAGAGTTGAGGTGGTTAAACGCGGTTATTTTATTATGTATGTGTGTGTGAGTGTGTGTTTTTTTTGGTGTTTTTTTGTGGTTTGGTTTGGTTTGGTTTTGCGTGCGTGCGTTCGTGCGTTTACGTGTGTGTGTGGTGTGTGTGGGTAGTGGCTGCTTGTACTAGTCCGGACTTGTGTCGGTTTTTTAGTGCGAGCAGGGTAGCTGCAAAAACCATCTAGCGTCTTTTGGAAAGATTGAATCACCGATCTTCCGATCTTTGGACAGGCGCTCTATCCAGTACACCTCGGAGACCGGAGGAGCGAAGAAAACAAGCGTTTAAGCGTTAACAAGAAATGCGTTTGTTTTATTTGTGTCTTCCTTATGGCTAAAGATCGTATCAGTATTTTATCCACGTTTTATGTCTGGAACTATGTTTATGAACCCAAATGAAAACATATTTGAAAGTCAGATGTGTCAGGCTGGAACCTATACTGTTTTATTTCCACATTGTACATTGAATGACTATCTACATTTCAATTTCAAATCGGAATCAGTCAACTTCAGTATATTACCCGTTGTGGTTTGTGTGTGTTAGATCTGTACACTCACGGACCGCCTCCGTGGTCTAGTGGTAGAGCGTCCGCCCGGAGAGCGGAAGGTTCAGGGTTTGATCCCCAAATGAGTCATACGAAAAGACGTTAAAAGATGGAACTTGTTGTTACCCTGTCTGGCGTTCGGTAGTAAGGGGCTAACAAGGACCAGTCGACTGGGAGTCGGTATACTGTGCCTGAGTGGGGTATTCATGTTAAACTGCGACATGGTGTCTCAATGGTCTAGCACTATAAAATCGGCATCAGTCCGGACTAGTACAAGCAGCCACACACACGTACATGCACGTCGCTATGGTGACTTGAAACCCTATTTCACCTCACCTGTACACTCACGGGATATATTGCTGCTGTTGCGAATAGATTTCAAGACATGTACAATTGTAACGTTTGTTGTAGATGCCTTTAGGAAAGGGAGATAACTCTCTTCTGCCTGTGTTTGGTCTAATCACAGATACTTTACGTGGACATTTTGAGTGAGGCCAAATGTAACATCATGTCGGCACTATATCAGCCTTAGTCGACGAGGACAAATAAATAAATAAATTTATTGGTTAATACTGCCAGGCAACTGTACAATGCATTATGTAAATACATCGCCTGTGCTTTCTTGTTTGGGATATGGCATTATCTATCTGTGTCAGTGTTTTCTTTAATGGGACAAGGCAAAACGTTATCAAAACTTCCCTGCCTTCATGTATGGGACATGGCAAAACATTTAACAAAATGTCAGTGTTTTTGTGTACGGGACATGGCATGACATCATGAAATAACCAGTAACCTGCATGTGTGGGATTTGGCATGACATTGTGTTAATGTCATTCTTCATGTATTGGACAAGGCATGACATTATCAAAATGTGTGTGTCTTCATATAGGGAACATGACGTAACATTCAACAAAATGTCAATGTTTTCGTGTACAGGATATGGCATGACATTATCAAAATGTATGTGTCTTCATATAGGGGACATGACATAACTTTCAACAGAATGTCAATGTGTTCGTGTACAGGATATGGCATGACATTATCAAAATGTATGTGTCTTCATATAGGGAACATGACGTAACATTCAACAAAATGGCAATGTGTTCGTGTACAGGATATGGCATGACATTATCAAAATGTATGTGTCTTCATATAGGGAACATGACGTAACATTCAACAAAATGGCAATGTGTTCGTGTACAGGATATGGCATGACATTATCAAAATGTATGTGTCTTCATATAGGGAACATGACGTAACATTCAACAAAATGGCAATGTGTTCGTGTACAGGATATGGCATGACATTATCAAAATGTATGTGTCTTCATATAGGGAACATGACGTAACATTCAACAAAATGTCAATGCGTTCGAGTACGGGATATGGCATGACATTATCAAAATGTGTAGACGAGGAAAAATAAACAGTGACATGCCGAATATGCTGGTTATATGTATTATGATCATGGTTAACGCTGTCATGTGCCAACTGTACAAAACATTGTCTGAATAAATCGCCTGTGCTTTCTTGTTTGGGATATGGCATTATCTATCTGTGTCAGTGTCGTTAAGAACGTTATCAAAATGTCAGTGTTTTCATGTATGGGACAAGGCATGACGTTATGGTAATGTCTGTCTTCATGTATTGGGCAAGGCATGACGTTATGGTAATGTCTGTCTTCATGTATGGGACAAGGCATGACGTTATGGTAATGTCTGTCTTCATGTATTGGGCAAGGCATGACGTTATGGTAATGTCTGTCTTCATGTATTGGGCAAGGCATGACATTATGGTAATGTCCTTGTCTTCATGTATGGGACAAGCCATAAGTTAAATTAACATTGAATAGTGAGTGCCTACATTGTATAGATACCCTGAGAACAGTATTTGTTATACATTCTGCTAACATTCAGCCAATGTGAGACCTTGAAATAATGTCCCATCCTCACGTCGCCCTAGACAAGTCTACAAACCCATCGTCTCAGGAGGAAATAAACCAATGAGACAATATGAAGTCATGGCAATAATTTATTGAATAAACTTTGTATTTGCAAACATGAAACTGACATAGCACCATCTTCAACATAACAAACACTGTCAATACTAGGTTCTCTCTCACACACATGTATGGAATTCATAACGTCAGCTGCACAACAAAGTCCAGGGGCGAGATCTAGATGCTTGGTGCACCATGATGTTAGACCAGCCAACCAGCCCCGTCAGGCATGTAGAACTCCTACATCATCAATAATCTGGGCATGTCTGCAGACAGCAATGCAGACAATTCAGACTCAGTAGTATGGCGGGAAGCTTCTGGATTCGTTGGTTTCTCTTGTGTGTCCGTTACCCCAGCACGTTGGGTACCCTTGCACGTTGGTTAGATAAGTGCAAGGTCTTTGAATATCTAATACATGGAATGTTTTTTTACCGGCATGCCTCCCTAGATCTGTGGCAGTTGTTGCCCCGAAGTTAGGAACTGATGTATCCACCACAATACCGCAAAAGTAAACAGTAAAACCGATAGAAAAGAATAGAAAAAACAAATGAGATCTCAACTACATGGTTGTCTTTGATCTAACATGCACGGCACCATTGAGTTTGAATGTTCAGCAACGTTCTAGAACTTCAGCAACACCAAGAAGTCAGCAACACGCGACTTCCGGGTCCTTCCAGATTGCATCCAGGTGTCCGGTAATGGGAGGTTGATGGTTGGTCCATCACACGCTGCTGTGCCACGGGTGCATCCTTAAACACTGATGTCCACGCCGGGATGCATCTACAACCATCAACCATCACAGCTCAAGCAAGGTGAAATATGAGATACCAGATTTGCACCCATTCGTGTTCAGATGTACTCGTCACTTCTCCACTTGATCCGGGTACACCTGGGGGAGCCTTGTAGAGACAGGAGGGACTTGGTGCGAGAGGTGAAGTCACTGTCGCAACGGGGCAACTTGTGCCGTCGCTTGTGGGCGTCGTTAAGGGACGCGGTGCTGCCCTCCAAGCTGCTGACATCGGAGTTGGAGGAGTGGTACTCGTACATGCATCTCAACTGGAGGATGTTCGCCCGGAGCTCGATGAACTGTTTCAGGAGAGATTTGTCTTGCTCCTTCATCTGCAGCTGTAGAGAAAGAATATAATCATTATAGGAGGGTTGCATTTAATATATAGTATTGAATGTGCAACTAGTTAAATACGCCGTAGTTAATCAATACACCAGCCTTATCATAACGTCCTCGGGTTAGCCTAGCCGAGCCTCGACCAGGTACACCACTAGTGCCTAAGTACCAACCCGTGCTGTCGAGGGGCGGGGAATAAAATCAGCATGGTCACACATTATAACCATTCGTTTCTCATTTCGGCCGTACTCCCCGCAAGAAGATACAGCATTAAATGGGCGTTAAAAGGCTTCGACGGGGCAGCCATTACACTTAAGAATAAAATGTGTAGTTAGATTGTGGTTATACTTTGATACCGCTACTAACCAAGCTATTTTATAATTGTATACACACAGTAGGTAAAACTGTGTACATGGATACACATCCATGGGGGGTTATAGAACATTGAAAATATATTCTCTCTTCCATACAACAAAAATATTTCACCATCACACTGAATTGTGTACGAGACAAAAGTGTGAGTTGACTTTAACGCCGTTTTTAACAGTATTCCAGTTATATCGGGTCGTGTCAGCTTAATGTTGCATGAAAGCCCGGAGTGGGGCAGATCTAAGACGTTTACCACTTTGATGAAGCCACCAGCACGGGTATGGTTACGATACAAAAGAAGATGAATAACAGAGGCCTAATGTTATTTTAATAGATAAACAGAGGAAAGCGTGTGTAAATGACAGTTAAGCGAGTAAACAATACAGCTTAAAGCAACACAAAGTTGTCTTATACAGAAGACAATCACGGTATGATTAAATAGAGCTGAGTCGGGTTGATCATATTTATTTAAACTTAGACTGGGTATAAGTGTCATCAGCGGTATGCTAGTGGGCGTTTGGAAAAGAAACTCGGCGTTGTCTTTACCTCAATACTTTTGGGCAAAACACCAAAACGAGTAAAACACTCTGACAGCGTCACTTATACGAGTCAATGTCAAACAGAGGCGGAGATAACACCATTGTCAACCAATGGTGGGACATTGATGAAGGTTAGGGGGATTTCATGTTAATATTATCAAACATAACCGCCGTGTGCTAAAGCGGCACTGATCCAGGAGACTTTCACGCCGTGATCCCAAGACTTGGCTGGGTTGCCGAATGTTACATCAGGTGACACAGGAAGTTTGTCCATCTGACGTGATACGAACATCAACACTTGCCACAACTAAATATTGACTTGTCGAAGTGTACCCGATGTGACTGCACTTGCTGCAGGTCGTGTACAGTCAAACAGAATTACTGCTTCCTTGACAACTTAAAGCAGTTCTTTAAAAAACTGAACAGGAAACGGCTAGCAGTGTGAATATGTACCCACATCCAACAAGCAGGGAATGCAGTCAGTGTTTGTTATCCCAGAGAAGAACTGCCATGTTTAATGCAGACTTAACATCGCATTTACAAACCACGTTTTCAAATTTCTGAAGCAGAATCCAGAGAATGCCTAGATCTTTCGACAAACACTTTATATATATTATACTTGCGATACTATCTATCAACGCGGGGGTGGGGGTGTGTGTGTGTTAAGAATAAGGGGATGAAGATAGGGCCACCTGATCTATATCAGGTCGCCTCTCACGACAAGCAAGGGTCTCTCGGGGCGTATACTTCTATGTTAGGATGGAGACACATCCCATGATCCTTCCAACCAGGTCCCTGTGGTCTACACACACAAATATATGCCTTGCAATGTCTTGTTAGATCTTGCAATGTATTGCTGTGTCTATTTCCTGCTACGTGTTGCTATTCCGTCGTAAGTCTTGCTACATTATGCTCAATATTGCAATATCTTGCTATGTCTTGCATCGTTTTGCTGTGTCTTACAACTTTGCTAAGTCTTGCTATTTCTTGAAGTGAGGATTAGTGGTTTCAGCAATTACCCGCCTTTTCTGTATACAGACACTTGGATGTAGATCTAACGACACAGATACTCCTCAAATACATCTAAGACAGCCGTGTGTATTTATCCCCAAGTGTTTGTATGCTTCTATATCTGTCCCAGTCCCCCATTCTCGCCTCCCGCTCACTTCCCTCAGTCAATTAAGCCTCCGTGTTTTCTTGTTGGCCAAACACACACATGGATAATCCGCTAATCCGTACGTGCTGCACCACGTGACGTCCAACTGGCCGTGATCTTCAAGCCACTGGGAGGGGATTAAGACAATCCGCCATTCCCGCCTAAGTCAGCAAATATGTTTGAGGAACTCTGTTCTTTCGCCATCTCTCTGCATGAAAACCCTTGTGGAAAAAAAACACGACTGTTGAGGTTGGCTGCAGCCGACGACTACATCCTATGCACACAGCGAAGGGTGGGGTCGGGGGAGGGGTCGGGGGAGGGGTCAGGGTCAAGGTTAGGGTGTGGGCACACTCGTTCTACAATTATTATCCCCTGATTTGTTGGCAGAGACAATAAGTCGTAATGTTATACATCCTGTGAGTTTTTGGGACGAAATTAAATGAATTACGTTACATCATTTTCTCGTGAAGACGTGTCGCAATGCCTCGTCAAACGTTCTTTCCTCCCTGTCGCTGTCCCTCCCTCGTCAAACACAACCAGAACAAAGTCTTCCTGTTGATATTGGAATTTCTTGTTGCTGTTAATTTCTGGATTCTTTGTCAAAGCAGTTTGTAACACTTGGAACGACTTCTAACATAATTTTTCAGGAAAACTAAAGATTTGCGTTCGTCAAGTTGTCTTCCTAAATATAACCACTGTTATTAACAAGCTCATGAGATGTCTCCATTTTCCAATATTACTCTGTGCCAAAACATGATTAAGTTAGCCTCTGATCTACTTATAACTTGGTCAAAACATTGTCTCTAGAATTAGAGGGACAAATTTAGATATCAAGATTCTTCTCTTTATGGCCATAGTCACGTTTTCCACACTAAACAATGAATCTGATCTGCGCTTCCTGAAAGGTCTCATTTTGGCAAGCTAACGCCAAATTTGTTTTACAGATGCAGCTCATGCCATTAACAAATGATATTTATACATGCAATGCACATGCTACAGTGAACCATTCTCCGACAGCACGCTGCAAGGGATGCAATCAGTCAGTAGTGCAGTACAGCATACAGTAGGACATGCTCGGGCCTGCTTCCACACACAGGTGCTTTAATAATTTAACGTACACGTGGCTCTCGCCATGTGGTATCGGAGTCCTACATACCACCGGATAGATGTACCCGTGTTACCTCCAGGTTACAGCTTACATGAAGTAATGCTCTGCCCCCATCACTACCCAGCCCATATGGGAACATGACACCCATACAGCCACCCCTCACACCTGCATCTTACACAAAAATGTTTTAACAATTCGGCTTTCCTGTGTCAAAGGCCACAACGTTCAAATTTATACACATTAATCCTTTAAGTGGATTAGGAGAAAAAAAGTATATTTTACGTGTACAATATGGATCAAAATTCAACGATGTATTTATTAAAATGAGTGCGTGAGTGAGTTGGGTTTAACGCCGCTTTTAACATTATTCCAGTCATATCACGGCGTGTCAGCTTAATGTGGGAGGAAAGCCCGAAGTGATGCAGGTCTCCGACGTTTACCACTTCGGTGAAACCCACGAGCACGGGTATAGTGCTGACAAACCTAGAAACATAATTGGGGCGAACCAGGATTCGAACCCACAATCATAGGTTTCTGGCGTGCCCAAGGGACGCAACTCTGCACAGCGAATCGCGGCGCCTTAGACGACTGGGCCACCCGTGCCCCCTATTAAAATTATAACTAATCAGAGACATAGTATAGTTTCGCAAAGAGGACAGTTCACTCACTGACACAAAAACGAAACACTTTCAATTAACCCTTTTATTTGATTTAGTTGGTACTTCCCCGCGGCTAGCAACCGACCGACTCACTCACCATAATGATAGACACATTTATCTAATTTTATTTCAACATGCAAAATGTTATTTTGTTAGAAAGAAAACCTTGGTAAACCAGACAATTGCCAAAAGACTCTGAATACTTGAAGGAAATTGGAAGACCTGGCATTATAAATGGGCCAAAGTTGTGAACTTAATATTATTCCATTTTTTTCCAACTGAGAAGGCTATTAACTAGTCCCTTATCGATCACTTAAATAGCAGCGTCGCTTTAGTAGACGGTGTCCGCCTTTACCATTCCGCTTCCTATAGTATCGTGTAACGCGAAACCTCGTAAGTCCGTAAACCTCTACTTGTGAGGGGATACTGTTAGGAATGTCTTTATATGGGGTGAAATGTGGTTCGTCGCGTTCAATATTGTTTCACTTAATTAGCGTTTACATGCACGTGTGTGTGGCTGCTTGTACTAGTCCGGACTAATGCTTGATTAATGTATAGTGGTATCCCAACGAGATACCATGTCACAGTTTTAACATGACGCAACATAAAGACTCCGAGTCAACCTGTCCTTGCCGAGCGCCAGGCAGGGTATCAACAAGCACCATCTTTTAACGTCTTTTGGTATGTTTGTTTGTTGTTTAACGCCGCACTCAGCAATAGTCAAGTTATATGACGGCGGTCTGTAAAATAATCGAATCTGGACCATACGATTAAGTGATTGACATCATGAACATCGATCCACGCAATTGAGATCATCTTTTGGTATGACAAGACCGGAAATCGAACCACCGACCTTCGTCTATATATGGTTCATACCACTGAGTCTTTAATCAGGGTCACCATCATTGTACCCCGAGAGCATGGTGCGTTGCTCCTAATATTAACCACCGGTTCGCCTGCGACGGGCTTTCGATTGGTACACACATGATATTGGCAGTGTCATATAAAAATTCACTTTTAATAATACCATAATTTATGAGCATCGTATGGCTAAACACACAAGACACTCAAAATCACGAAATATTCCCAATTCAAGATACTTAACACCGAGTATATTCAAATGTACCTATATCCATTACGTTGTTAATATATAACGCCATATAACACATTCCGACCGCCTGTACACATCTTATCAACGCAATTGGAACCGCGTGCACTTACACACATGCCTCGCGGCTTAAGTTTAATGAACCAACACAAAAGCATAATGTTGAAGATGTACTTGGTGACCCGTACGGCCGGGAACTCTTGTCAGTCAGTGTCAATGGCCTGCGCATCACGTTACCAATATAAGGGTAACATTACATCGGCAACAACAACAGTTACCTGTGGTCACTTCAAGCGGACCGCAGGCTATTAGAGACCTCATTATGTCTGCCCGCGCACCTGTTAGAATAAACTACCTCTAGCCAAACATCGACAAGTAAAGTAGGGTATTTAACCCCAACAGAATTAATATCTCCAAGCGTTACATGGTAGTTAGGCCACGATGGAACAACGTTGTACGACCACCTGACGTAATATCTCATGACATGCATTCTTGAGACGTCGGTATTGGTTGTCCGGCACGTTCGTGTAGTGGTATTTAATTGAATGTATTATTCGATCGCGTGTCGTAAGCGTTGTATTGCTCTTGTGAAATATTGGATTTGCTTAGCATAATGGCATGCATAACTGAAATCTTCACTGAAAACAGGGAGTCAATAAATTCATTTGTACCTATGTTTGGATAAGGTATTTCCGGAAGCCATTACCTTGGTAGATATGTGTTGAACAGTTCACTGTTGATCAGTAAAAATTGAATGCCTTATGAAATACGTTAAGATGGAATGTTGACGGACAGGTTTGGGAATGCATATGAAATGAATAGGCATTGAGATTTGATGTTTACAGTTGGCTCAGTGGATATTTGTGTTGTAGCACAACGTGAAAACTATTTCAAAACCAAAAAATAAGTCGAAAAGTGAAATGTTAGTTTTTGAGTAAAACCTTTCTCCGATCAGTTTTCTGGTTTTCACTCGAAGAAGCAAGTACACGTATACCTTGTCCACTGACACACGTGCCTTCAAGGGACCAACGATCTAATACCTAAGGGTTGGTGGTAGGAGGGTGTGTGGTGTGTGTGTTGTGTTTTTATTTTTCATTTTTTTTATTTATTATCAATTTTATTTTTATTTTCATTTTTATTTTTTTTATTTTTTTATTTTTTTATTTTTTTTTTTTGGGGGGGGGGGGGGGGGCTGGGATTTATCTTTGGAGACGGGAAGGATACTTTTTCGATCTCGATCATCATATTTGTTTCAAAACGGCCAATATGTTTCTATGGCTATAATTAAAGGCTATCATTCATTACTCGTCACAACACAAAACACCCTGCATGTCATGCGAAAATTGTATTTGTTTGGTAAAACCTGGATTATATTATTAACGTTAATATTAGGCGTAATCACTAAATGGGGCAACAACAGTGGTATTATTACCTATGATGTAAGTGGGATTGTCTTGTGTACCCTTAAGCTGCAGTTTCGATAAACACAGCAACGCCCAGTTCGTCTGATAATAACGATGTGTGGCCCTCCCAAACCTACACGTGTTGAGTAGGTAGGGAATGTGATCACAACGTTATGTCACGAAGCAAGACATACCTCGGGAGTATACGCACGTTACCAGGCGATCTATCTCAACGCGCTCGAGGACGTCTAATTTGAGCTTCATAGGATGTTTCAACGTATGACCGTTTTGACCCGCTCCCAATTATAAACCAGTACAGAAACATGTTTCTGTTTCAACAACAAAAGATTGAAGGTTGTTTAAGCTTCGTGCTTATGACCTTAAGGATATGTTCATACATGGTTGTGGGTGGTCAAACGGTGGGGCGATTACCGCCCATGACCGCTGCTACTTCAATGTTTAACCCTAATATTAGGAATGTTATTTTCATAATTACTATTAAATGTGAGTGAGTTTGGTTTTACGCCGCTTTTAACAATATTCCAGCAATATCACGGCGGGGGACACCTGAAATGGGCTTCACACATTGTACCATGTCGGGATTCGAACCCGAGTCTTCGGCGTGACGAGCGAACGCTTTAACCACTAGGCTACCCGACCGCCCCACTATTAAATGTGGCGTGTACATATATAAAATATTGTTTCTATGAGTCTTTTAGTGTCTCGCAGGCCATTTTGGCCGGCCGCTGAGTTTTAACATTCTTGCCTTGTCATTTTATATGTACAGCGGGTGACACTATAATGAAATATTATTATTATTATTCCAAACCTTAGCTATAAATATGTGTAACTTCGGCTTCTTCCACATCATATTTAAATATCACATAAATGATTTTTTGAATACTTCTAACCAAATGTTGTGAATCTTTTTTAATTTCTAGGCAGGGGTTACGGGCGATAGCTTTACCTCAATTTTTTATTCATATTCATTTGTAGAAATGCCCCTGGTGGGTTTTAGGTCTCTGGTGGTGGTTATTAGTTAACAGTGAGTGAGTTTAGTTTTACGCCGCTTTTAGCAATATTTCAGCCACATGACGACGGTGTTACACCAGAAATGGGCTTCACACATCTGTACCCTTTGAGGGTATTCGAACCCGGTCCTCGGCAAGTTAAGGCTACCAGAAGGCTACCCTACCGCCCCTATTGATTGGTACGATACATTAGGACAAAACAAGTGACACTTACTATTTCCTGTCTGATCCACTTGAGAGCCACCCCAAGGTCTTTCTCTCGCGACTCCAGATCTTTCTCCTCATCGTCGGCCGCTTCTTTCCCTCTTTGCTGCAGCCTCTTCTTATACCTTGAGGGCAGATGAACGCTCTCGGCTGCCTGCACGTCTTTCACGATCTGCACGTGCTCGTCGCAGACGACACTTGCCATGGGCTTGCTACTGACGTTGTTGTTATCGAAAATGGTGGCACTGACGCCCTCTTCTACACTACCGACGACACTCCTCATAGTTTAAGTCGAGTGTACTGAGTAAAATCTTCAGGAGACGGTCTTTGACTGGCAGCGCGTCGTGTTTCACCAATCTGGTAATCTAATCCCGACTACGTATCAAGATACCTGTCTCTCGCTATACAAGCTTCCTTGTACTTATCAACGTGACAGCAACGTGTTGTCCAATCACAGATAATTATTTATCAGTATCCGCATCTCCTGGTAGGTATCTCACCGGAAGATTTCTTCTCTGCCGGGATCTCCCAGTATGCAAGTAGTCAACTCCGGTTGGGCCTGATCCGATCACTTGATCACTGTTGCTACAGCTCCTGTCAAGATTAGCCGCGCGGTCACAATCCTACAGTCTTTACCTGTCAAATCTGCACGACGTGCTCGGAGAATCAATCAGTCAGGTGTCTTTCACTCAAGTGAGAACTTTCTCATGAACTCGGTATAGAATAGAAGGAACAAACTGGGTATTGTGTTTTTCCCGCAGGCCGGGCTATTGGTACAGCGGGGAGTATCGTGTATAGACACACTCTGGGCCAGTTACTGCGCTCACAAAGATTGTCCAGGGTGTTTTCTCAATGAGAGTTGACAGACGCCGTGTTTATAGAGGTGGGCCTTGTTGACGTAATGTGCGTCCTGGATCGCTGATTGGCTGCTCCAGTTGTCAGTCAGTCGTGATGCGTGACGCGCGTGGGACAATGCCGGTTGCGTCACTAAATTACTACAGGGATGACACACATCGTTTGTGTGTATTCTACGTCGTGTGTGTGCTGTACGTCGCTTGTGACTGCCCAACATAAAACGTCTTATTGTGGAATACGCCACGTAACACTTCGCCGTGAGATCTAAAGACTCATAAAATATAAATTAAACTTTGAATATTTTAAAACAAAATTAAACCACTGAGCATAAGATGGTTTCGATGTCGGCACAAGTTCTGCAGGATGTAACGTAGGTGCAAGGTTAATATACAAAGATGTACCCAGCGGAAAGTGTTTATACAAACATACCTCTGGGATAAAGACTCATTAAATATGTTTGCCTCCATTTACAAATCTATTAGTTGAGAGTTAGGGTTATCTATCTCAACTCTTTCATGTAATGTCTCCTAAGGTTATCTAATCGTGTAAGTCAAAGTAAATCCATACATTTGTCAAGTTTTGTCTCAAATCAGGAACGTTGGGTGACTCAAGTGACCTGATGTCCGAGACTGATCTCGGGGTGTGTATTGGTATTAAAACATTTCCGTTCGGAACGTATTTGTATACAGTCGCTTACATCATTTGGTTGTGTACAAATGCAGAACATGTTGTTGTGAGTGGGGGACGTTGATAAGTCGTCCCTCACGTTCCCACGCTCTCATAGATATAATTATACATTTCTCCAGTGTCAACTGACGGCATGAAATGATATTGTTATCCAACAGAACAAAACCCTGTTTTGCTCTCTACTGCGGTACGTTTATGACATCCGTGTTGGCGTATTCTTTGTAAAACTGTAACATGATGCTATATATTCACTTTGAAAGTTATTATCTATACGTCTATTGATACACACGGCGGGTGATGGGGATAGACTTGTAGTTAAATCGCACGATCGTAACACCCATGACGCGGGTTCGAATCTCAACATGTGGGAGCCTGTACTTGGTGCTTCAGTGTAGCCCGGTCCCGCAGGCATGTGGCTAAATATAACAAACGGTTTAAATTTCCAGACATGCATATACACTGTTTCCACCTGTCTATATTCAAAACACACATGAAAGGTCATAACTATTACCATCGGTAGGCGGCAAGTTATGTTGACTTACACTTTTTTGTATAGTTTCGCTGCAGGGCACGACAATCTTTATCAAGCCTCATAGTGAGTTAGTTTGAGTGTGTGCCGGTTTTAACATTAATGCAGCCGTATCTCAGCGGGAAACATTACTTTAAAAATGGGCTTTACACCTACAATAGAAGGCTTTGTCGTTCCGAGAAAAAGTGTTTCGGAATCAAGTGGGAAATATTGACTTGTTTGTTTAAATCATACAGGTATATATATATACGTTCTGGTACATATGTACCTGTTGATGCGTACTGGTACATGACGATGAACATACTGGTACATGACGATGAACATATTGGTACGTTCATGAAGATGTATCTATTGATAGGTATTTTTACATGACGATGAACATACTGATACGTACTGGTAAATTACGATGAACATACTGATACGTACTGGTTCATGAAGATGTATCTATTGATACGTACTGGTACATGACGATGAACGTACTGGTACATGACGATGAACGTACTGGTACATGACGATGAACGTACTGGTACATGACGATGATACGATGAACGTACAGGTACATGACGATGAACGTACTGGTACATGACGATGAACGTACAGGTACATGACGATGAACGTACTGATACATGACGATGAACGTTACTGGTACATGACGATGAACGTACAGGTACATGACGATGAACGTACTGATACATGACGATGAACGTACTGGTACATGACCTTGAAAGTACTGGTACATGACGATGAACGTACAGGTACATGACGATGAACGTACAGGTACATGACGATGAACGTACTGATACATGACGATGAACGTACTGATACATGACGATGAACGTACTGGTACATGACGATGAACGTACAGGTACATGACGATGAACGTACTGATACATGACGATGAACGTACTGATACATGACGATGAACGTACAGGTACATGACGATGGACGTACTGGTACATGACGATGAACGTTACTGGTACATGACGATGAACGTACAGGTACATGACGATGAACGTACTGATACATGACGATGAACGTTACTGGTACATGACGATGAACGTACAGGTACATGACGATGGACGTACTGATACATGACGATGAACGTTACTGGTACATGACGATGAACGTTACTGGTACATGACGATGAACGTACTGATACATGACGATGAACGTACTGATACATGAAGATGAACGTTACTGGTACATGACGATGAACGTACTGATACATGACGATGGACGTACTGATACATGACGATGGACGTACTGATACATGACGATGAACGTTACTGGTACATGACGATGAACGTTACTGGTACATGACGATGAACGTACAGGTACATGACGATGAACGTACTGATACATGAAGATGAACGTTACTGGTACATGACGATGAACGTACTGATACATGACGATGAACGTACTGATACATGACGATGGACGTACTGATACATGACGATGAACGTACTGATACATGACGATGAACGTTACTGGTACATGACGATGAACGTACAGGTACATGACGATGGACGTACTGATACATGACGATGAACGTTACTGGTACATGACGATGAACGTTACTGGTACATGACGATGAACGTACAGGTACATGACGATGAACGTACTGATACATGAAGATGAACGTTACTGGTACATGACGATGAACGTACTGATACATGACGATGAACGTACTGATACATGACGATGAACGTACAGGTACATGACGATGGACGTACTGGTACATGACGATGAACGTACAGGTGCATGACGATGAACGTACTGGTACATGACGATGAACGTACTGATACATGACGATGAACGTACTGGTACATGACGATGAACGTACTGGTACACGACGATGAACGTACTGATACATGACGATGAACGTACTGATACATGACGATGAACGTACTGGTACATGACGATGAACGTACTGGTACATGACGATGAACGTACTGATACATGACGATGAACGTACTGGTACATGACGATGAACGTACTGGTACATGACGATGAACGTACTGGTACATGACGATGAACGTACTGGTACATGACGATGAACGTACTGATACATGACGATGAACGTACTGATACATGACGATGAACGTACTGGTACATGACGATGAACGTACTGGTACATGACGATGAACGTACTGGTACATGACGATGAACGTACTGGTACATTACGATGAACGTACAGGTACATGACGATGAACGTACTGGTACATGACGATTAACATACTGGTGCGTTCATGAAGATGTATCTATTGATACGTACTGGTACATGACGATTAACATACTGGTACGTTCATGAAGATGTATCTATTGATACGTACTGGTACATGACGATTAACATACTGGTACGTTCATGAAGATGTATCTATTGATACGTACTGGTACATGACGATTAACATACTGGTACGTTCATGAAGATGTATCTATTGATACAGTCTGGTACATGACGATTAACATACTGGTACGTTCATGAAGATGTATCTATTGATACAGACTGGTACATGACGATTAACATACTGGTGCGTTCATGAAGATGTATCTATTGATACAGACTGGTACATGACGATTAACATACTGGTACGTTCATGAAGATGTATCTATTGATACGTACTGGTACATGACGATTAACATACTGGTACGTTAATGAAGATGTATCTATTGATACGTACTGATACATGACGATGAACGTACTGGTACATGACGATGAACGTTACTGGTACATGACCTTGAACGTACTGGTACATGACGATGAACGTACTGGTACATGACGATTAACATACTGGTGCGTTCATGAAGATGTATCTATTGATACAGACTGGTACATGACGATTAACATACTGGTACGTTCATGAAGATGTATCTATTGATACGTACTGGTACATGACGATTAACATACTGGTACGTTCATGAAGATGTATCTATTGATACGTACTGGTACATGACGATTAACATACTGGTACGTTCATGAAGATGTATCTATTGATACGTACTGGTACATGACGATTAACATACTGGTACGTTCATGAAGATGTATCTATTGATACAGACTGGTACATGACGATTAACATACTGGTGCGTTCATGAAGATGTATCTATTGATACGTACTGGTACAAGACGATTAACATACTGGTACGTTAATGAAGATGTATCTATTGATACGTACTGGTACATGACGATTGACATACTGGTACGTTCATGAAGATGTATCTATTGATACGTACTGGTACATGACGATTAACATACTGGTACGTTCATGAAGATGTATCTATTGATACGTACTGGTACATGACGATTAACATACTGGTACGTTCATGAAGATGTATCTATTGATACAGACTGGTACATGACGATTAACATACTGGTACGTTCATGAAGATGTATCTATTGATACGTACTGGTACATGACGATTAACATACTGGTACGTTCATGAAGATGTATCTATTGATACGTACTGGTACAAGACGATTAACATACTGGTACGTTCATGAAGATGTATCTATTGATACAGACTGGTACATGACGATTAACATACTGGTACGTTCATGAAGATGTATCTATTGATACGTACTGGTACATGACGATTAACATACTGGTACGTTCATGAAGATGTATCTATTGATACAGACTGGTACATGACGATTAACATACTGGTACGTTCATGAAGATGTATCTATTGATACAGACTGGTACATGACGATTAACATACTGGTACGTTCATGAAGATGTATCTATTGATACGTACTGGTACAAGACGATTGACACACCCGCTCAAATTGATGTAC